TCTCTGGCAAGGGCAGTCACTGTCTTTGGGTCCCACCAATTTCTGGGACACTTATCAAGCTTCTCCAAGCTTGGCTTCTGTGATGACCTATACATTTCTACAGCCCAGTAGGTGAATGGCTAGTCTGTAGGTTTCCCATTTGCCTCTCCCAAGGTCTTTTTACACCTTTTCTCCTTAAGTGTATTAGTTTTCATGCTATCTTTTTATATCCTCCTAGTAAAATATACTCTCATGTGTCTAATTTATACTAATGTGTAAATGGGGAAAAAAACCACCCCCAAAATAAAGTAGTCCTCTTCAAATGTTTCCAATGAATTTGATCATGTGCGCCAGGAAATCTAGGGATGTAGTCCAGAGTAGCCTTGAAACAAGATGAACTTTCTTTTTTTATATTTAAAATTTTTTACCTTAAAATTGCACTTGAACTTTGTGTTGTATTTTATAGTATCATTATTTTATCCATTATAAAAATAACATCAGGAGGTAGGACATTCCCACTTGAAAGGACATGCAGACCAGTCTGGATCAACTAGAGGAACAGAAGATACTTCCTGAATGGAAGACCAGCAGGGAAAAAAAAACAAAAATTAAAAACAAAAATGGCAGTCTGTTTGCCTATTACAAGAACAAGCAAGCTGATCACCAGGGAACCATCAAAGAAGCAATCAAGTCCCTTCAGGACAAACCCCCCTCCAAGACTGAAACTCAAAGGGTATTCATGAGCAGGCATTTAAGCTAGCTGGTTAGTGCATTGGTCTACATGTGAGTGGAATTGGGAGAAAGTCAGTAATGAAGATATGGGCTGAGTTCAACCATGTTCCATAGATTCCTGTTGACCTCTAGATGAGAGAGAGAAAAGGGAGGGCTGGTTGGAAGTTTGGGGAGACTTGGGAACTCCTGAGCCCACGGTCAAGGACCTAGCCATGGAGGTCTAGAGCTGAGAGTGCAGCATCCAGCTGATATGAAGTGGGGGAAGATGCACAGAAAGTCCAAACTTGCAGATAGTACCCATTTGACCTAGCTTTGATGGCTTGATGACCAGAGCTCGACTAGAGAAAGATAAAGAAATTTGATAAAGGAACCAAGTGTAAATTGCTATAATTTGATGAACTTGACCTATACTTATAATGGATGTAGTGGCTCAAAATACCAACTGAGAGGGAAGGAGTCTTTACATCAAGGATCAAGCCTATCCTCTTGGTATACGGGGTTGATAGGGATGGGCAACTTAGACATTGGCTACCTAAAATGGGGGGTGGCAGGGCTATAAAGGCACGAAGTGGCTGTCTTGCAAGTTTTCAAGAGGGAGTTTAGTTTCAGGGTGTGTGGGGGATGGTAGAATCCACACTGAATAGTTTACATCTTGTCTGACAGGTTGGGTGAAAAGAGATGGGGATGAGATTCTTATGATTCAATAGTAATTGTTATCATGATTAATTACGATGGTCACAATTGTAAAGGTACAAGATGTGTAACATAAAGGGGGAAGTAGTTAATCTTACATCCCAGAAATAGAGGACCCAAGGACCATCAAGGGAGAAGAGCATGAGCAGAATGTGGGACCCTAACCAGGGAAGCAGTGACACCAGAGATGGAGGCAGAGATGATGACATGGAGAGATAGAGCAGCTGAGGACTCTAGACTCATGGAAAGAGAAAGGCTGTGTGCTGGCAGCCAGAAGGCA